TTCCTCCTTGGCCAGCCCTACCTCAGGGGTTATACGGTGGATGTTTTTAAAAGGATGCATTGTTCCACTTTGACTCATGTCTTGCTTCATCCTGCAGAAAGCCAAATCCATTGCTGTCGAGTTGATTCTGACTCATATTAATCCTATAGGACAGAACAGAACTGCCCCCATAAAGTTTCCAAGGCTGTAAATCTTTATGGAAGCAGACTTTCTCATCTTTTTCCTGTGGAGCAGCTGGTGGGTTTGAGCCACTGACCTTTTGATTAGCAGCCAAGTGCTTAACCACTGCATCACCAGGGCTCCCTCCATCCTGCATAAGCACATCAATTCAGAAAGATCAGCTCTGCCTGGGCCACTGTGTTTGGCTTCTGAGGGAGCCGCTGCCAGGTCCCCACAGAGCTCTGGCTTGTCTCCTTGGGACTGGGTACTTGGTTCTCTATCCATGAGGGACTTGGAGGCAACTCATTTCTTACCCTCAGGAAAGTCTTGCATATCTGCAATTTACCACACCACCAACTACTGAAACAAAAATAGGGTGGCACAAGTGTAATTTCATCTTCAACTATTGTCTTTCCACAGCCCATATCTACTCTGTTAGCAAATCCTGGCAGCTCAACTTTGAAAATACAGCCAGAATTTAACCACTTCTGAGTACCTCTGCTGCCACTATTCAGTCGAGTTATACCTTTTTTTTTTTCACCTAGGTTAGCGCAGTGCTAACTGGTCTTCGGGAGCTCTGGTAGCATAGTGGCTAAGGCACTTGACTGCTAACCAGAAGGCTGGCGGTTCAAACCCACCAGCCACTCCTTGGAAGGAAGGTTGGGCAATCCTACTTCCATAGTGATACTGCCTCGGAAACCCAAGGAGGGGTCGCTATGAGTCAGGGCTGACTCGATGGCACATAACAACAACAACAACAACAACAACTGGTCTTCAGCTCTCATTGTTGCCCCCTTCAGGCTACTCTTAGTATAGCAGCCGGAGTGAATGTGTTAAACTTTAAAGTTTGCGTGTGCTGTCTGCCTCTGCTTGAAGCCCTGCAGCAACCCCCCATTTCCACAGTAAAGCCAAATGCACACCTGGTTAGAAGGCCTGGAAGGTCTGATCTCACTTCCTACACTCCTCGCCGCTCACTGTTCTTAGCCCCCTGCCCATGTACCTCTTCCACAGAGATCCATTTGACTTACCCCCTGGCTGCCTTCAGGTCTCCTTTTGGTGAAGGCTTCCCCGACCTCCCTCCTCGTTTACAGCTGTGAACTCCACTTTCCTGCCCTCCTCTTCCCTTTGCTGCTTTAGGGTCATCACAGATAGTATCTGTCACCATCTGATATGCTGCCTTGTTCTCCCCTCCCCCACTAGAACGTAAGGAAGGCATAGGTTTTGTCTGCTACATCTGCTGCCACATAACGAGCATCTAGAATGGGGATACTTGTCATATAGGCTCCCAATAAAACAAGCATTTGAGTGCTAACCAGAAGGCTGACAGTTCAAACCCACCAGCCACTCCTCAGAAGGAAGGTTGGGCAATCTACTTCCGTAGAGATACTGCCTCGGAAAGCCAAGGAGGGGTCGCCAGGAGTTGGGATTGACTCAATGGCAGTGAGTTTTAGATGGATAAACAAATTTTTCTAATTATTTTTCCGCTACCAAATTAGATCTAGAGCAGTTCTCAATATTTATTCTTTCTGTAATTGGGGGGGGGGGTAGATTTTTTGACTCTGAAATAGTCTAGGGAAGGGGGAAAGGAGATGGGAGAGGAAGAAGGCGGAATCCACACTTCTATTCTTCAGAGGAACCTGACTTGTTCTGAGTTCTGTCAGCAGTGCTCCTGTGTGATTCCTCCCACAGCACAGACGGGCACACACACACTATGCCTCACTCCCTGTCCCAAAGCCCATGCAGGTCACACTACCCATTTCATGTCCCACTTTGCTGCATTAGTTCAAGTCTCTAAGATGGGTTTGGTTTTTAAAAAATTTTTGAAATAAAGGTAATATGAATATGGAAGAATGTTTAAACCATTGAGAATGATACTAAAAGTCTACCTTCCAATCCCTGGCCCATAATTCCTTTCATTGGCAGTAATCCCCGTTAATAGTTAATTACTTCTGTATCCTGCTAGGAAAAAAATACATGCATATGCTGGGTAAATATATATCCTTTGGAAATGGATGTGAACAGAATCATGCTAAGCATTTTATTTGCAACTTATTAACAATGTTATTTGAGGATCTTTCCATATGAATCAACAAGGATCTACCTTGTTCTTTTTAGCAACCGCTTGGCATTGCATTGTATGTGTATGTGGTCGTGTAGTTAACCCAAGCCCATACTGACAGACATTGATTTCTTTCTGGATTTTTATTATGATGGTATTGTAGTTATATCTTGGCACATGTCTGCAGTGATACCTGTAGAATGCATATCTGGCAGTAACATTGCAAGTTAAAGGAGCACAGGCATTTAAAACTTGATAGATATTGCCAAATTGGCCTCTGAATGGTTGTATTAATTCATTCTTTTGGAATATATTTTTTCCCCAACTTTTTATTTTGAAAATCTTAAACCTACAAAAAAATTCTAAATGATAGTTTAATGGATGTCCAAATATCCTTTACCTATGTTCACCAGTTTTGTGTTGCCACTTTTGCTTCTCTTACTCTTAATTTATATATTATATAGCATATTAATGTATTATTATTTATTATACATATCTTTAGTTATTGCCTTTCTTGTTATCTGACATTTTGCATTTATTACAGTAGTAAAAAAAAATCTATCCAACTACTTGGCATATCACATATATCTGTCAGTAAAAGACTCCAAGGTGTAAGATGAGAGTAATGCTGGCTTTGATGGTTATGTGTCAGCTTGGCTGGGCCAGGGTTCATAGTGGTTTGGCAATTATGTAATGATGTAATCTGGCACTTAAATAATGATGTAGTCATCCTCCATTCTGTGATCTGATGTGGTCATCCATCCTCCATTTTCCCATAATGCTGATTTTCATGTAACAGCTTGGTCTTTGGAACCTAATCATGTAGATAAATGAGTAGTGGTTGTATTTAGTTTAGTATTATAGTGTGATTATTATATATAACAACATATATAATTTTTCCTCCTAAACCATTTGAAAGTAAATTGCAGCTATTCTGAGACTTCAGCATTTATCTCCTAAGAACAAAGACATTCTCCTTGGGATATGTTCTGATGCTTTTATTTTATGCTGATTGGGGACAGAAGAACACATGAACCCAAATATGGCTCTGGCCCTGAGTGGAGGCTTTCCTGAAATCCAGATCATTTTGTCTTGGTCCAGTATCTTCCCTGTCTCATCCCTGAGCCCCTGGTTCCTCAGTGAGACTTGGCTTGCTCACAGGAAAGAGGCCTCCTGCTTTCAAGGGCCACTGGGACGAGCAGAACCTCTTGGCCTCAGCTCAGTTCTTTGGCATTGTTGGTGTTTTGGGTCTGTGATCTGCCAACAAAATGAGAGACTGCCTTACAATTCCACTGGTTTTTTGATCTCTATCAAAGTGTTTCTCTAAACACCAGACTTGTCCTTTCATTTCTGTGTATAGGCACTGCTTGCTTGGCAAAGCATGGACTGCCTGTGTTTATTGAAGAAGCGGGATTTATTGACTTTAGTGCTATTTTCCTCTTCCTCCTCCTCCTCCCACACCCTCCTTGGCATCTTGGGAGCCTGCCAGAAGTTGGGTCTTGCCTGCTCCCAGTGGTGACAGGTGTCTTCTGTGGGCTTATGTCAGTGTGTTTTTTCCTCAGCACTTGGTGGGGAGGACTTCACACATGCAGCATTTTCACTGTTTGTTGTAGTAAATAGAATCCTTGAGAAAAAGTCTGCTGGGGTTTTAAGGAAGCTTTGAAGCATTTTGTTTCCTTGTATTCAGACAGCTCTGTCTGCAGGCCTGAGCTGAAGGTGTGACTCTGATTGTCTTTTGCCATCCAAAGTTGATCAGGTTGCTGCATGAGCACCCTGCTCCTGCCAGCCATCCTGTAGCTGGAAGTACCACTCTCTTGTGCTGTGACCACACCTATGCGCGCCCTCAGCCTTATCCAACCCCAAGTCCATCATCTACTTAAGTAACAGAGCCAGTTTTCTAAAACACAAGTCCAACCATGTCTGTGACTCTGCTTAGAACTCTTCTGTGGCTTTTCCTTTCCTACATGATTCATTTCAAGGCCAAGACCCTTCCTCATTTGGCCTCCTTGTCACAGACTGTTTCCCCTTCCCAAATCCCAAAGTTTGATGAAACCCCCATAAAACTGTACCAGACACACTCTGCTGTCTCATACCTCTGTACTTAAGCTCATCATGTTTGCTCTACTCAGAATGTATCTTCTTTCTCCTCCATGGTCCACTTGCCAAGCTGTTACTCAGACTTTAGGACTTGGGTTGGCTATCTCCCATCACTGCAGCCTCTCCTGACCACTGCCTTTCCTTCAGACAGGCAGGGTTGGTCATCCTGCTCAGTGCCTTCCTTCTGCTTCAGGCTCACCACTTCCCTAGCACTCATCACACTATCTTGTTACGTGTCTATCCCCTGCTAGCCAACTGACTTTACCTTGTATCCTTAGTGCCTGGCTTGAACTAGTTACTCAGTAGATGAGTAGATGAATGGATGGGTGGATGGGTTTGTACTTAGAGCATACCCTGCAGTTAGAAGTAGCAACATTCTACTTTGTTGTTCCCAGTACTTATGTGAGAAATCCTTGTCACAAGGAAAAGGAAAATACAGTTTTCCACACAATATGAAGAGTCATCCTTCATAAATACCCAGTTCTGCAGTGTCTGGATGGTCATCAGCAATATAAGTGTCTGTGACCCTCCCAAAGCTCTTTCTGTAGTGCCTCATGTTAAAAGAGAAAGGACCTTGACTGCTTAGTATAAACACTCTGAGTGAACTGATAAGCTACCTTGTGATGGGCATTTGGCTTCAGGTTAATCCTCTGGAAAGCTACTGATGGCCTTTCTTTTCTTTCAGTCAAACGCTTCAGAGAACCAAAGCATGAAAGACGTCCATGGAGGATATGGTATGTGTTCAAGTATTAACTCATTCCTAGCATACTTTTGACTATTGAGGAGGTGGTTTTTTTTGGGGGGGGGGCAGGGGCGTGAAGGGTATGGGGGGTGTAATGTGATCAGTTACACAGAATAGAAAGTGTGTAGAATCACTTAGCTGAGTTAATCATCAGGACTGTGTGTGATATGAAAGCGCCTCTGTTTCTCCAGTTGACTCTTGAGCCCTGCCTTTACCATCACTCTGCTGCCCATTTTGGAAGATGGAACATAATACAGGCCCCTCAGGCTCCTTTGACTTTGTTGTCCTGTTACTTGATTTATGTTTCAACTCCTGTTTTAAGCAAAAAATAATCCAAATTTGGAGATTAGTCAGATAGACCATATAAATGCTCCTCTCCTCAAAACTAGCTCTTTAGTCCTAGGATAAGTTTGTGGCCCAGCTCTTCCTTTCATAAAAAATGGTGGTGAAGCTTCAGGATTAGGTTCTAAAAATGAAATTTTAAAAGAAATTGCATGTAAGGAGACAGCCAGCTCTTGAGGACATCAAGCACTGTGTTCACAAGAAGTCTCCTTTTGGGGGTCTGCCTTCCACATACACCTGCCCTAGTGAAATAGCCATTCTGCCCTCCAAAGTATTCAGTAAATCACTGTGATAAAAACCTGTTTATAAAATATCATGCATACACGTCCTGATTGATCCACAGTGTGCTATTGCTAGATGTTCATAATTCTTATTTTTATTTTTCCCCCTAGTTGGTTTCTCCCACCAGTGTGGGTATTTAGCTTTAGAATGTGTGACTCTCACCTCAGGGCTACAGAGGGACATGGTGAAGACTTAGATTTGGGTACTCTGTTTCACACAGTGGGGAGTCCCTGGGTGGTGCAAGCGATTAACTGCTAAACAAAAGGTTGGTAGCATGAGTCCACCCACAGGTACCTCAAAAGAAGGGCCTGGCAGTCTACTTCCAAAATATCAGCCATTGAAAACCCTGTGGAGCAGAGTTCGACTTTAACACACATGGGCTCATCATGCATTGAAGTCGACGCCACAGCATCCAGTAACTTTAGTGACTGATCCTTTAGTGACTTCTACTTTCTAATGATTTTAGGAAACAGTTTTCCAAGCTTGGTCACAAGTTGATTTGGATAATCTTTCCAATCCTGAGACTCCATGCCTGACATCCCTTGATTCACCTGACCCCCATCCAGTCCCATGCCCGGCCTGGGAGGCAGAGAAAGAGAGCTATGACCAAAGGGTCTCACAGGCACAAGTGCATGCCTTGTCTCTAGGGGTTCATGGCAGAGGGGAAGCAGAAGGCACACATCTTTAGCCAACTGTGCTCTTGCCACATGAACACAGGGCACTGGTACTAGAAAGCCACAGGGAGGGGCTGCAGAGGATGACTTGGTGCCTTAAAGATTAACAGCCTTGTCAGTTTCTTCTTTGAAACTCCTGTCATCTAGCCCAGGGGTTGGCAGACTACAGACCATGGGCCAAATCTGACCTGCCATCTGTTTTTTTAATAAAGTGTTGGAATGGTCCTGTCTGTGGCTGCTGTCACACTCCAGCAACAGAGCTGAGTATTTGCAACAGAGGTCACATGGCCCATGAAACCTAAAAATGTTTACTCCCTGTCCCTGTAAGGAAAAAAGTTTGCCTACCTCTGATCTAGCCTAGTGTCTAAATGGCAGCAGCTGAAAGTCATTTAGGTTCCATCTGCAGTCCTGGATTTGGGCAAATCTTGTTAACCTTGCACAAAATTTACTCATTATAAGTGAAGCTGAGTGGGAGCTCTTTAAAATAGAGGCATCCTTGGACTTGATCAGAAAGCAATGATCAAGTGCTTTGAAGTGAAAAAAAGAGAAAAATGTACGTATTTTAAATGTCATTAACGAGTGGCCTTTTCAGGATTTCGAGTACAGTGTTATTGACAGGTTTTGAGATGTAGCTGAAATACCAAGCCTGAGTTAGTTCTGACTGCCCCGAGAAGAGGGGACTACTGATTGCAAGGTTGGGTCTCCCCTGTCGAAGTGATAACAAGTGATGGTTCTGTTTTTTCCAGGTTTTTAGACACTTCCAAACAAGCCATAGGAATGCTGTTTATCCACTTTGCTAATGTATACTTAGCAGATCTCACCGAAGAGGACCCTTGTTCTCTGTAAGTGCCCCTTTTGAATGCAAACATAGAGGTCATCAGACATTCTCACTCACCTGACTCCTTTGAGAATGGGGGTCATCTCTGCTTTCTTCTGTGGTCAGTCCTGCTCCTGCTAGCTCCCCTGTGCTCCTCTGAGAGGTCACCTAGTGCATGCCGCCCATGAGCTTCACCACACAACTTTTGGTCAGCTCTTAGAGCTTTCTTTGCAGAATGACCAGTGCCCTGTGTGTTGGCTTCCTGCCAACTGACCAAAGTACTCTCCTTTGGCTTTCTAGTACCAGTGCCCAAGTAGCCCCTGGCAGAACAGTATAACACCCCGAAGGAGTGTCTCTGTGCTGGAACAGAACATTAGGCAGCTCCTCTGTGGTGTCAACCTCTCAGATCAGATCTGTTGTTGACCATTGTTGGCCTCTGTAATCTGAAGACCCTGGGTGGTTCTGCCTTGTGCATGCATGCACACAGCCCCCAGAACAATCTGTCTGAAACCCACATTGAGCCACAATACACTGTCCTTCTTGCTAACATTAGAATGGTTCCTGTCTTGGCAGATTAAGTGGCAAAGAGGGTTCTTCTACCTTGTTCTGACTCCATTTCCTAGCCTTCCTGCCTCAGACTTGGTGCTCCAGCCACACTAGATGGTTCCTGGGTGCTCCCAGCACCCAGCTGTCCTCTGCCTCTGTGCCTTTGCTCACAGTGCCCTCTGCCTGGAGCATCCTTCCACCCTGCATTGCCCTGCCCCCGAGGGAGAACAAGATGAAGGGCTGGTGAATCCCTTGTCTAGAGCCTTCATGTGTATTCATGATCATTTGGACTGGAAGATACTTTTAAGCTTCTCTATTTGAATGACAGTTTGCAGTTTTGAGCTTTAGTCCAGACCCAGGTTTCAGAGGGAAGTTGTGAAGTCTCCCTCCCTGGGTCTTTCCTTAAGATCTGAATGGGTTGAATGCATTGACCCCTGTCAGTTTAGTTTTGTGTATTTCACTGTACATAAATTATATTTCAATAAAATGCATTAAAAAAAAAAAAGAGTGGGTTAGAAATCCATGTTAAAACTCAGAGTAATAGCTATAATATATGAACAATAAGTAATGGCATTAGGATAGTAAGCGAGCCTTAGATTTGGGAATTTTATACAGTTCTGGTGGAAGCAGGAACTTACTGCAGTGTGACCTATTCAGGCTGAATAAATATGTAGTTGGAATGTAAATTTAAAAAAAAAAAAAAAAAGATCTGGATGGGGCATGATGTGTTTAGCTGGTTTGGTATGTATAGCCCCAAACCAGGGAACTAGAAACATGATCTCCCAGTTAGGAAAGGGTCCTATCTCTTGGACCCTGAGCTCTGTGGCAAGCTTGTGTCATCCTCTGGTGAATAACCTTGATGCTGATGGCTGAGACACGTTGGGACCCAGCTGCTCACCTAGGAGGCACTGAGGTGAGGAAACCTAACTCCTGGTGCAGACATGGCCACATCACTATCTCCTCATGTCATCTCCATCACCCATCTGCAAAAAGAGGATGACAGTGCTTTTAGGGGGACATTGGCAACCTGGATTGCAGCAAGGATGGAGAACGGGCTAGAAAATGCGTCAGTAGGGCAATTGACAACTCTCAGGAGAAAAGGTCCAAGATGGAGCTTGGTGTAGTGAAAGAATGCTTAACCAAGAAGCCAGACTGTGGGAAGATGGTTGACTCTGGGGCTTATCTGTCCCTTGTGCCCTGCCAGCATCTTGGGTTTACCATGAAAGTTTCATGAGTTGATGAGCATAAATGCTTATTAGAAACCATAGGGGTACTCGTCAATGAAGACATTAATAGTCATTTGGGGGATTGTTGTTGTTAAAACTTAGTGCAGGCACGAGAGCCCCAGTAGTTGCTTGAGGAGCTGCTGGCTGGGAAACCAGGAAAGCGGGGTAGGCACTGCTCCAGCGTGTGGCGTGGTCGGGCTGTGTGGAGGAGCCAGTGCTGGGCTTGGGTTCACTGTAGGCGCTCCCATCCTGGGCTTGCCCCGGGGTTGTTTCCGGATAGGGAGAATGAGTTAGGCAGGACCTGGGGCATCTTGTGGGAGCAGTGTTTAAAGCATTCAGCTGCTAACTAAAAGGTTGGTGGTTCAAACCCACCAGCCACCCCACAGGAGAACGACGAGGCAGTGTGCTTCTATAAAGATTTACAGCCTTGGAAACCCTATGGGGCAGTTCCTGACAGCAAGGTTTAGTGGGGTTGGGTTTGGGGCATCTTGGGAGGTTGCAGACCTAAGAAGGGAAGCAGGTTTCAGCTCAGGGAGAAGAGAAATTTACAGACGGGAGTGAGCTGCTTCCTGTGGCTGGAGGAGTGCCCTTGTGCTAAGGATGCTGTGTTAGGATGGAATCAAGCTTTTGTGACATCCAGGGTTCTATGACTTTGAGGGACTGTGATTCTAATAGCAGGAGCCCTGCTGGCTCAGTGATTAAAGCACTCATCTTCTAACTGATACATTGGAACCCCTTACTTAGCTGCTCTGTGGGAGAAAGATGTGGCAGTCTGCCTCTGTAACGATTTACAGCCTGAGTCAGAATCTACTTGGTTTGGTTTTGATTGTAACAACACACTTGAATAGTGCTTACTAAGTACCAGGCACTGTTGTAAAAATTTTACATATGTTGTTGTTAGGTGCTATGCACTCTGCTCCGACTCGTAGCTATTCCATGTACAACAGAATGAAACACTGCTGGGTCCTGTGCCATCCTCATAATCCTTCTCATACTGAGCCCAGCATTGTAGCCACCATGTCAGTCCATCTCATTGAGAGTCTTCTCCTTTTTCCCTGACCCTTCACTTTGCCAAGCATGAGATCCTTCTCCAGGGAATGGGCCCTTCTGACAATGTGACCAAAGTAGGTGAGACAAAGTCTGGTCATTCTCACTTTTCCAAGGAGCATTCTGGCTTCACTTCTTCCGGGACAGATTTGTCCGTTCTTCTGGCAGTCCATGGTATTTTCAGTATTCTTTGCCAGCACCACAACTCAAAGCCATCAACTCTTCTTTTCTTCAGCTTCAGTCTTCCTTATTCGTTGTCCAGCTTTCACATGCATATGAGGCGACTGAAAATACCATGGCTTGGGTTAGGCGCACCTTAGTCTTCCAAGTGATATCTTTGCTCTTCAACACTTTAAAGAGGTCTTTTGCAGCAGGTTTGCAAACAAACTGACAGATGAGTGGTGAAGATGACATATATTGATTCATTAATCATCACAACAGCCCTGCAATAGAGATACTTTCATTATCCCCATTTTACATTTAGGGTAACTGAGGCACTCAGGTTGTATAATAACTTGCTTAAGTTCACAGAGGAGGGGAAGGATGGAGCAGAGGTTTAAACCCAGATAGTTTGGCTCCAGGACCCACATGGAGCTGGGCTGAGTGAGACTCAGGACAGAGTATAGAACTTCCTGTCTTTATGCCCAAGGCCTAGCACAGAGTGGGCTCACTGAATATCTGGTGTGTGAATGAATGAACCAGCTCTTGTATATCCATCAGGTGTCCTTACCATCAGGAGGAGTCTCAGGTGTGAGAACCACTCCAAGCCAATTAAATTGTCTGAGAGCAGGATAGCCCAGGGTGAGAGCTCAGCTGCAAGCTTGAAAAGAAGTTGCCTTGGAGGCTGTTACTCTTACTTCCATCTCTGGTCTGAGGGTGACCCCTTGTGGTTTCAAAGAGGAAAGGCAGGCAGGAGAAAACTGCTTTTCTCTTCCTCCCTCCCTCCCTCCCTATACACTGGTGGCCTTTCTACCCAGACACCTGTATGCTGTCAGGTCCTTGAGCAGAGCAGAGTGTGTTCCCCCAGGAACCAGAGTGCAGTGCACATCACCATGGCCCAGGGGCTGAGCGGAGGCTGTGAATCTGCATAAAATGCCTCAAAACTCAACAACTCAAAAGCTCACCACTGGTCTTGCCACAGAGTCCCAGCGCTTATCAGAGCCATGTGGTATCACAGAAGGCCTGTGGTCCACAGTGCTCAGCTAGACCTCGTGTCCTCACATGTGGGCCCAGAATCATCTCTCAAGAGCAGGGAGAGGAGGGGTGTTAGGATGCTGTTCCAGGAGCCTCAAGAACACTCCTCCTCCTCATACTTCCCAGATAGGCTTGCGACAACTTCTACTGTCTGACAGGTTTCTGGGTGCTGGCCCTCAAGGGAACGCGGGTAAAAGGCCACTCTTTGGTAAGGAAAAGAAGGTCTTGTGTCAGACATAGACTTAGACCTTATAATAGCATGTGGTCCTTGGGCATTCTATCCTGACTTTTCTCCTTTTCTTCTGCTAGTTTTCTTGCCTTTTTTGGTGGAAAGCAAAGCTCTCTCTTTAAACTATTATTTACTTGCACTTGACCCTGTGGCAGTCTGTGAAGCCCCAGAGTGCATGAGGCCCTGTGGCCCTGCCCTCTTTGATCTGAGACTACCAGAGACCATTTCCAGGCACTGCCTTTCTGCAGCAGTGGTGTCGCAGGGCCTTACACAGTGCACCAGTAAGGTGTGTACAAAATGATTGATCAGATTTTTTTAACTTGGTGATACTCTGTTTCTTAAGGAGCTCTGGTGGCATAGTGCCTAAGACATTGGACTGCTAACCAGAAGGCTGGTGGTTCAAACCCACCAGCCATTCCTCGGAAGGAAGATTGGGCAATCTACTTCCGTTAGAGATACCACCTCAGAAACCCAAGGAGGGGTCGTTGTGAGTCTGAAACAGCTCGACAGCAATGAGAGTTTTATTTTGTTTTTTATTGATTTCCTCTGCTGTTCCAGATATTATGTCTTCTCTGTCTTCACTTGACAGGAACAGTTGAGGTTCTTTAAATTTTTTCCCTCCTCCACCATCCCTTCAAGTTGTTAAACCCCTGATGAGCATTAGCACATGGTTGTGGGGAGGCTTTAGGAAGAGCTGCAGCCTCTCAGAGCCACATAGAATCTGCCTGCCTCCCCTAGAACAAGGCCACGTGAACTGCTGTGCTGGTCAGCATCTCCTGGCCTGTACCTACAGCAGCCTTGATCTCTGACTGGCAAGCCCCATACTGAGAGCTCAGCTCAGTGGCTCTTGCTCCTTGGGTGGCCCATGCTCCTTGTGGCCTTTTCTGACCGTGTCGACGTACCCTCTCTCCCCAGGTACCTTATCAACTTTCTTCTGGATGCCACCGTGGGTATGCTGCTCATCTATGTGGGCGTGAGGGCCGTAAGTGTCCTGGTGGAATGGCAGCAGTGGGAGTCCCTGCGTTTTGGAGAATATGGTAATGATGGTACCATGGACCCTGGATGGTGGGGGCTGCCTGGAGGGGGCTCTGCTCCTTGATCCAGTAATGATGCTCCCGACAAGGTTTAGAGCTAGTGGCTGTCTCCTCCATGTAGTGGAGGGAGCTAGTTTCTGGGCCTAGTCACCATCTTCTCTGTGTCAGTGTCACATGTCTGAGGCATGTGGGTGCCTGCCTTAGTGCCAGGGTCATCACCTTAATGACAGGGAAGGTCACAGGAGTCAGGAGTCACTCTAGATGCAGGGAGGACCCAAATGTCAGCTTCTTGCACCAGAGGGCAGTGGTGTTCCCTGCACAGAGATGAAAGTCTACGGCACTCTGTAGAGCTTCCTACAGAGCTCTCAACATCTGCCCAGCATGTTTGAGAGACTGCTAGGCTCTCAGTTGGGGAGGTGGCAAACTCTGCTCTCTTTCTGCTGGTCTATGCCTGTCCTGTCACTGAGCCATTCCACTAGCAGAGGGGGACTCGTAAGGCCAGCACTGGAGGGTTCATCCCCTCCCAAGCCAGGTTGCCTTGCTCTGTCTCCCCATTGCAGGGTAGCCCCCATCCAACAAGTACATATACCTGGCACCAGGGTCACCAGATCTCTGCACACTCACAGAGACACAGCCTAAAGCAGGGTACTTCCTCCCTGGGGTGCAAGTCTGGCCAAGAAGCTTCTTCATGGCTGGTTCTGAGTATGGATGCAGTGCCTTTTATTTTGTACTCCCAGAGAGACAGCTGGGTGTGGCCTTGACAGAGACCAACTAATAAGAGACATCTTCTTGGGCCCTTCCTGCCCTCTGGGGCCCAGCTGACTCAGGACCTCAGGTTAAGGGGTAATATCAGCTCTTTCCCCACCTTCAAACCTTCATTCCAGGCCCATGCTGCCTGCTGATATGAGGCAGGGACTCCTCCTCTCAGTTGGAACCACATCAGTGGAGCGTTTGCTATGAAAAAGTCACATGGGACAAAGTGAGGGAAGGTACAGGTAGAATCCCGGATGCCCAGTCTCCTTTCCTGATCACACCTCCCAGAGAGCTCCTGGCTCTGGGCCCAAGGACTGCTCACTCCTAGATGCTTTAGACTCATAAGGGGCTGACATTTTACAAGAGGAGCCAATTTGCAGAGCTAGCTGCTGAGTGGTCTGGGTATTTCTAGAAATCTTAAGTACAGTAATTGTTTATCTCCAGAGATGGGAGATGAGCTCAGGGGAGGGCTTTTCTTAGCCCTGTTATCTGATGCCTAATGAGTCACTGACTTAAGATAGTGTCTGACACAGAGCATGTGCCTCCTATGGCTCCAAGGAAGGCTTCTGAGAAGATCCAACTCACTGATTTCCTGAGCTTGGAGGACTGGAATGCACCACAGTGCAAGTGGGCCAATTCACATTCTATAGATGTCTATTTATACTCCAAAAATGTATAGAATAGGCAGCGAGAGGAGTTAAGTGGTACAGGAAGCTCACCCAGCCAGTGCATGCATGGTATGCCCTGATGCCTGCTACATCAAGCCAAACAATGGACAGGCATATAGGGTGACCATTTATACCAGGTAGATACACACTCCTTAGAACAGTCAGCCATGCGAGAAGAGAAGGGCATTTGCATAGTGAGATAGCTCAGGGGATAGGAATGCACAGGAAAGGACACAGGGAAGAGGTAACTACAGGGAGGAAGTGGGAAGAGAAGTTACATTGTAGGGATTGCAGTAAATGTCATGAAACAAAATGTATATGAACTGGTGTATAGAGAGTGAATTTGCTCCATAAACTTTCACCCAAGTCACAATTAAAACAAAAACAAGACTATGCATAAAAGAATAAAAAAGAATCACCTGGGGATCTTATTAAAATATTGATTCAGTATGTCTATGGTGGAAAGGCAAAATAAGAATTGCCTTTTTCTGGTTTTGAAAATGCAGGAAAAGAGCTGGATGCCCTGGAAAGCAGGTGGCGTTTAGCAACTAGAAAGGGCAAGGAATCCATGCTTCCCTAGAGCCTCCAGAAATGAATCAGTCCTGCCAACACCTTTGTTTTAGCTCAGTGAGACCCATGTTGGAATTCTGAGCTACAGAACTGCATGATAATAAGCTGGTGTTGCTTTCAGCTACTAAGTTTGTGGTCATTTGTTACAGCAGCAAAAGAAAACTAATACAGTAGGTGATACAGGCTATCCTTCCTCTGCATGGGCAGGACTCAGGTGGTCCCAGGAAGGGCTGCTTTACCTGAAGACACCCTGTGTTGAAGATGCTGACTTCCAAAGGAGTGGTGGGATGACTCAGGGGCAGGGCTGAGGCCATCCAAGTGGGTAGAAGAGGCTGGCATGCAAGCAGCAGGCTCAAACAATCACTGCCTCCTTCCTTCTATCTAATCTTGGGGTTGCTGACAAACATACTGGGGACAGGTGGTACTGTAATGCCTGCTGTGTCAGGACCACACCTGATCTCCATTCCTAGTCTCTGAGTCACGTGTAATTGGCTGTGGGTGCACCCCCTTAGCACTGTTCAACTATAGTCAAGTCCTGCCTGTCAGAAGTTTCTTTCTTTTCTTTTTAATGTTTTATTTCTGATGAGAAGATACAAAGCAAAACCCACTCTTGTTCCAGTTTCTAGACATAATGGTCAGTGATATTAGCTATATTCTTCACATGTATCAACATTCTTGCTATTTCTGTTCTAGTTGTTAACTTAAACTCCCAGCTGTCCAACCTTCTTATCTGCTCTTGAAAATAGTCTTAGTTTAAAAGTAACTTCAGGGGATAGTTTTGATTCAAGATTTAAAGAGGAACTCAAAGCCATAGTTTCGGAAGTTCCTGCAGCCTCAATACCAAACCAGAAACCAAACTCACTGCTGTTGGGTTGACTGCAACTCATAGTGACCCCTCCATGGGTTTCTGAGGTGGTATCTCTACAGAAGTAGATTGCCTCATCTTTCTTCTGAGGAGCGGCTGGTAGCTTTGAACCACCAGCCTTCTGGTTGGCAGTGAAATGCCTTAGGCACTGTGCCACTAGAGCTCCAGTAGTAAGTCTAGATTCTTTAGGGATTTGAAGTTCTGTTCTACATTTTTCTTCCTCTCTATCAAAGTCCATCTATTGTGCCTGCATCAGAATATTCAGTAGTGGTAGCTGGGCACCTTCTAGTTTCAGAAAGTTCTTAAGAGCAAAGAAATCACTTTGAGCCCTGTTCTTGGGGGGGAGGGGGGTCCCATGGGCCCTGGAAGACAACTCCCTGGCCAGCTGACTGGAAAAGATCCATATTTGTGCACATTCCAAAGAAAGGTAATCCCACAGAATGTGGGAATTATCGAACAGTATCATTAATATCACATGGAAGTAAAATCTTACTGAAGATAATTCAAAAACGGTTCCAAACCCACTGCTGTGGAGTCAGATTCAACTCATAGCGACCCCTCCTTGGTTTTCCAAGGCAGTATCACTATGGAAGTAGATTGCCCAGCCTTCCCTCCAAGGAGTGGCTGGTAGGATTGAACCGCCAGCCTTCTGGTTAGCAGTCAAATGCGTTAAGCAGTATGCCACCAGAGCTCCCTCGGAAACGGTTACAGCAGTATATTGACAAAGAGCTTCCAGAGATGCAAGCTAAATTCAGAAGAGCATGTGAAACGAGGGATTTCATTGCTGATGTCAGATGGATCTTGGCTCAAAGTAAAGAATACCAGAAAGCTGTTTACTTGTGTTTTATTGACTATGCAAAAGCATTTGATTGTGTAGATCATAACAAATTGTGGATAACATTGAGAAGAATAGAAATTCCAGAACACTTAATTATGCTCATGAGGAACTTATACATAGACCAGGAGGCTGTTGTTCAAACAGAACAAGGGGACACTGCATGGTTTAAATCAAGAAGGGAGTGCATCAGGGTTGTATCCTTTCACCATACTTACTCAGTCTGTATGCTGAACAAATAATCCGAGAAGCTGGACTATGTGAAGAAGAACGTGGCATCAGGATTAGAGGAAGACTCATTAACAACCTGCAATATGCAGATGACACAACTTTTGCTTGCTGAAAGTGAGGATGACTTGAAACACTTACTGATAAAGATTGAAGACTGCAGTTTGCAGTCTGGATTACACCTCAGTATAAAGAAAACAAAAATCCTCACAGTGGGACCAATAAGCAGCATCATGATAAATGGAGAAAAGATTGAAGTTGTCAAAGACTTCATATTACTTGGTTCTACAATCAACACCAATGGAAGCAGCAGCCAAGATATTAGACGTCATACAGCATTGGGCAAATCTGCTGAAAGGGACCTCCTTCAAGTGCTGAAGACCAAAGATGTTTCCTTGAAGACTGAGGTGCGCTTGACACAAGCCATGGTATTTTCTTTTTTTTTTTTTACTAACCATATTATTTATTTTTATGTGATAAATTACTCCAAAACATAGTGACTTAAAACAACTCATAGTTATTGTTGCACAGTTTCTGTAGCTCAGGAATTCAGACATGGCTTAGCTGACTTCTTTGCTTTAGGGTATCTCACAGGCTGCGCTCAAAGTGCTGAAGGCTTGATAAGGAAAAGATCTACTTCTATGCTTACTTAAATGATTGTTGGACTGAGGGCTTCAATTCCTGGCTGCCTATTGCCTGGAGACCACCCTTAGTTCCTTGTCACAAGGGCCTCTCCCATATGGCAACTTACTTCATCAAAGCATGCAGAGAGAGAGAGTTTACTAGTAAGACATAAATCATAATCTTTTGTAACTTAATCACAGAAATGACATCTCCTTAATGTTGCAACATTCTATTAGTTAGAAGCAAGTTATTCAAGGATAAGGGATTACAAAAGTCCACAAGTAGCTGTAGGTGGGGATTATAGGAGTCTATCCTAGAGACTACCTGCCTCATCTGTGCATCATGGGTTCACTCACAGAATAGTAGAGCAGAATTTCCCTGGACCCTCCTCATTTCTTACAGATGAGGAACCTACCGCTCAAAAAGGTGATAAGAATTGCCCAAGGCCATAGCTAGTGTG